ATACGAGAATAGGCGTGATACGGCCGTAAAACGCAACAATAATGACTCCAGTATTTCAACCAAGTTTTGGTATAAGTTTGATGTTAGCCGTTTTAGAATCCATGATCTGAAGAGGATTGTTTTTTAAACCGATGTAAACTTCAAACTTTTTTGCCTCGAAATACTTCCGGTTGTTTCAGCTTATAACACATCCGGTCCAAGTTTACAAACGGCAGACAAATAGGAAAATATTTGTTTAATTTCCTCATGACATTCTTTTTTCAAAGACTTTTTTCTTTGTTTTTATTTCTTCTCTGCGTTTAAAGACTGGAGGAGAGAAGTCGCAATAAAAATGATGATAATGTAACAATAATATAAAAATAACAAACAAAATAAAAAAATAAAAACTGAAAACAGTTACTTTCTGGATAAGTTAACATTACTACTAATGTTACTATTCCTATATGTGACATTCGTCGACCTCGAGACCATGATCTGCGTACAAGGAATTATGTCTAAACTGCTGATTACAGAGCAGCTATTATGGCTGTACAGACCCACACTGGCGAGTCAGTCTTGATTGCAATGAATACACGTGAAGACACTCTCCCGTGATGTCGCCGTGTTTACATTTAAACATATTTTTAAATGAAAAATGAACGTTGAAGGATTTAAATTTAGATATTTGTATTGTATCTGGCATCTGTCACTCTCGAGAGACCATCGATCTGCACCCTAAGAGTTATGCTTCAAATGCTGATGGCAGAGCAGAATCTGTTATGGTTGTAAAGGTCCAAATGGGAGTGACAGTCTTGATTGCAACGAATGCATGTGAAAACGCCCTCACCCGATCTTGCCCTCTTGTTTTATATCTCGGGAGCAGGCTTCACTCCGGCGGTAAGCTTCCGTTTCTTCTCTCTTCGACCCACCCTTCGGTGTTAATCGTGTCTCCAGCTGGAGCGATCATTGGCGACGTCTTCCCACTTCTCGATGTCCATGTCAATCGCCCTCATGTCCCTTTTGCTGGCGTTCTTGACGCGAAGATGAGGTCGCCATCGTGCCCTTTTGCCGGTGGCCAGTTTCCCGTACATAAGGAACTTTGTTAATCCTACCATCAGTAGACTGTTGCTTCCCGTGATTTGACATCGCGCTGAGCCGACGGTGGTGTGTCCTCTCCAGGACCAAAGCATGGGCAGGGTTTTATGAGAGATAAGCGGTTGCCCATGCAGCACATCTCTCCTCTCCATTTCTCCGATGTTGTCCAAGGAAAAGGTAGAGTTCAATACAGCTTGGTACTGGCCTCGTCGCAGGAGTTACCAGAACGAAGTGACTCTGAATTTGCCCTCAGGGTTTACTCCCGAACCCTTTTTTATGATTGTGGCCGCAAGGCAGCAGAGGTTTAAAATCAGCCTTTCTCTTTACTAGGCAATAGACAAAAGCAATAAATATAGTGTAGAGATTTAGATTCGGAACAGAAGCAACATTGGTCTTGGTGAACGCCACACACCTTCAAACCATGGCGCTACAAAATCAAAGAACTATAATAAATAACAGAACCACACCGGTTGAGTACTTTTGTCCAAGAAACACTTCTTCAACTGCGGTTGCAATACTCACTCCAGCAATTTAATCGGGTAAACGAAAGAGGTCGAAAGCTCCCTGTTTTTAACCAAGGTGCTCTTCTCCATCATGGCAGTGAAAAGGTTACCCTTTTTTTAATCTCTTTTTTTTCCTCCTTATGAACCCTATTGCTTTTTAGTGGCTTTATCGCCTTGCATTGGATAAAATAATTTTTTTAATCGGTGTCACTCCATGCAAGGCAATAAAGCCACTAAATAGATTAAACTAACGAAAAGGGAGCCCACTTTATACTAAGGGGTTCCCTTCTAGTTAGTTAATCTACGTAGAGCGCCCTTCTCCTCCTTTAAACAATTAAGTCGCCAGACGCGTTCATTAAAAAAACATGTCACCCCAAAAGAAAATGATGTAATAATCAAGATGTTTGTGCATTTCGACATGGTGTAAGGAATAGCAATCTTGTCTTTCCAGAACAATTATGACTTGGTAGTGAGTTCGATTCTCACCGTGCGCTCCCTATTTTTTACGCTTAAAATCCACCGTAATCAAGGTGTTGGCATTCCACACGACTTCAAACAAAAGGTTAAGAAGGAAACTCCCATTAATAGTGGAAAGAGTGTTGTTCATGATGACGGTCGTCTTTCAGTATAGAATCCAGAGGTTAGCAGTGAATATTTCGAAGACAGTAGGAAAGCGTTGTCCAGGTTAGCAGTGGATATTTTGGTAAAAGTAGCAGAACGTAGTTCGTCCTTCTGTTTCTCTTCGCCTGACAAGCTGGACTGGACATTCGGGTAGAGTAGACAAAATGGCCACCTTCATACACGACGGACTGAATATTCTACGTCTTCTGATTGGTTAACCTTTTATTGGCGGACTATAAAGTGAGTCATTTGGGCTAACTCACTATCACATAATGTACACAAAAAACTGCAACAAAGAGCGATAACAACTATTGGACTTGAAAAATCTACTTTCCTGAAAATTCGTTTTAAGAGAAAGATTTTATAAATTTTAACCGACACTAGTACTGACTGCTTAGTGAATGCTGAATGTTTCCTTGTAAGGAAACGGCTAATATCACCACGATCATTTTGTACAGCCGGCGTATTCTAATCTAGTTGTTAAAGGAATTAAATTAACCTTTTTACGTTACCTGTGTTTTTAGTTTCGAATATCCGTAAGTTAAAGAATCTACACGTTCGGCGTTGCCATCATTAAAGAGGAGGTTGTATTTGTTTAAAAGAGCATAGGCTTCTTCAATAGGAATGATCCCTGTGTCTATGCGGTACTCCGAGTCTTTGATTTCACCTATGGCAGCCATCAAGGCACGCACGTCATCCAAGTCCTTTATGGGTCGACTCAGTCTTTTCATCATTGAGTCGAAAAATGTCAAAATCTCCTTCATGTCCTGGGCTGACTTCTGGTTCAGCATCTTTGCATAAGATAGCTTCCAGGATTTAATTTCACAAGTCAGAGATTTCTTCAGTGTGTCGGTCATGAGCAACAAAGGGCCAACTTGAAAGCTCGGCTCCATTTCAGATACCTGCATCTCCAATATCTGAAAAAAAAAGAAAAAACAATCATCGAAAAAATAATTATATACGTGAAACAACTGAACTATGACGGACCCCCACCCCTCAGCAGGCCTAGCGTAGAAATAAATAGGATATGGGAGCCATTGATAAAGAAAGAGTAAAAACCCACTCTCTAGACTTGGTAGAATTCAAAAACTTCTCAAAGCCCTTGTGGGTGATGACCTATTCTCCACCCTTCAACTTTTGCTCTCGCTGTTTTACCGCTACTCCCACTTCAATCTTCTTACTCTATTTGTGACTCCCTTATTTAGAATGTAGCCTGACTATATTTCCTGAACGGAATTGCTCACCTGACTATATTTCCATGAACGGAATTGCTCATCTTCCGGTCGAGTGCTACTTTACCCCGAAAGATTATATTTATTTATTTGTACATTTTATTTCTTTTGCTCAATATCTGGACAATGTGTGCTTGGTTTGAAACTCTCACATCTCAAATTTACTAGCAATGGAGCTCGATCCAGAACCCGATAAAATTTAATTGACCATGTGAGTATCATAACCAATCGAGCTGGGACCCATTGGGACGCACTTTAAATAAATTTAAGTTACATCTGTTTTTATATCATTTTTTTGTAAAGCTTAATTATTTTATGAATACTCTAATATATGGATTAATGAAAATATTTCATCTCAGAACGATAAATACGGAAGGCCGAAATATATTATGCAAAGTGTCGTGCTTAAAAATCAAGATGATAATAACAATACGTATTAATGAAATTATTTTTTCTCAAAACTTTGTGGATGTGAGGGTGATACAATGGCTAGCTGCTCGAAATGAGAAAACGGATAGCCGAGTTCGAATTCGAGTTTCTTACATACACTTACGCGCAGATATCCTTGCGAAAAGTATGAATCCATTTCCTCCCCCAGCTATGGATTAAACAGTGGGAATTTTATCAGGTAAAAACCATTGATTTTATTTTTAAATATTACATTTCATGTGGCACATGGCCAAACAGGGAAATGTTGATCGTCACTGACTAGCCTAAACGTAGTTAATCTGGTTCACGGCCTATTCATTCATTACAATTTACTTATACACCACAAGAACACATTCATCGCCTTTTAATCCAACACATACCAGAATACCGCATATTCACAGGGATCCTACTAAAACACCTATGACATGAAAATATATGGAATTTTATTCTCAAAAAAATGTCAATTTAATAATCAATCGTAAAAAATAAGAATTATTTTTACAATTAGAAATATTATTCGGCTTTATATAACCGTCAAATCTCAAAAATTCATATTTAAGTGTTTAAAATACTTTCTCTCTTTTAATTTTACTTAAAACTTAAATAATATGGTTGCAGTAATTCATGCACTATCCGCATATTCAAAACTGAAGGCTAGCAAATTCATCCCATTAAAAAAAACCTAATTGCTTCGAAGACACCAGCAGAAACGCCTAATGTTGTTGGGAGAGTCTGAAGGCTATAATTGGATCAGCAATGTAACCCAACTAAATACAGACCAGATTGACGTTGCTTAATATCGGTAATCGAACGAGGTTTTAAAATAAATACCTATACATATTCTTTCAGAATGTATTTTAAAGTTTTTTCACATTTAGGTTGACGGATTTGTATGATTTGTTCTTTTACGAGTTATCAACCTTACAGATTATTTAAAGCAGTATTTTTTTTTAGATAATAATGATTTAGTGATACAAGTCCTACTAATTAACCCATAGCCGGGGGGAGAAGAGGTGGATTCTTACCTTTCATAAGATTATTTGCACGTAAATGAATATAACGAACCCAAGTGGAATTGGAACTCGGCTCTTCGATTTGCAATTCCTGGCCGTTGTCCATTACACCACCCGCTCATCCAAGGTTACAACACCCGATATTTCCAAGCCTTCACCCATCTAGGTATTGACTAGGCTCGACGTTGCTTAACTTCGGTGATCGTACGAGAACCGGTGTTTCCACGTGATATATCCGTAAGAAAATTATACCACCCGCACATCCAAGTTTACAGCACCTGATATTGCTATGCCGTCATTCATCTAAGTACTGACTAAGCTTGACGTTGCTTAACTTCGTGATCGTACGCGAACCAATGTTTCCACGTGATATATCCGTAAGCACATTATACCACCAAGGTTACAACACCCGATATTTCCAAGCGTTCACTCATCTAGGTATTGACCAGGCTCGACGTTGCTTAACTTCGGTGATCGTACGAGAACCGGTGATATACACATAAGCACATTATATCACCTGCACATCCAAGTTTGCTGCACCTGATATTTTTAAGCGGTCACTCATCTAAGTACTGACTAAGCTCGACGTTGCTTAACTTCGGTGATCGTACAAGAACCGGTGTTTCCACGTGATATACCCATAAGCACATTATACCACCCGCACATCGAAGTTTATAGCACTTGGAATTCCTAAGCAGTCACCCACCTAGGTACTAACCAGGCTCAACGATCTTCAACTTTGGCGATCGTACGGTGTTTCAACACTTGCGTCTTAGTGGCTTTATTACCTTGCTTGGTGTGAAATGATTAAAAAAAATATTAACTAGGCTCAATGTTGCTAGACATCGGTGTATGTACGGGAACCGGTTTTCCAACGAGATACGGCCGTAAGCTCTTCACACTTAGGAAAGCAATATTTTTTTAACCAAGAATGTGAAACATTGTATGGAGGCGAGGAAAAGCCCGACTTACGTGCAGGGATTTTAATCGATCCTCATATTCACTGATAGGCGGATTTTTCTGCGCAAATTCTTTAACGATTTCATTCATATCCTAAAAATAAATAGAAAAGCAGAAATATAACAGATAAAAAAAATACAAGGGAGTAATATAAAGTAAAGAAAATAAAAAGCTGTTTACCAAAAATATTAAATATAGAAAAGTTGAAATTATATAAATCAGACACAGTATGAAGACAGTTTTCACCTATCTACTCCTAATGAGGAAAAATAGATAAAATAATTACTAATGTGTCAGATTTTAGACGGAGACAATAGAAGAATAGTTTTAAGTAGACTTTAGAAGAAACTCCATCGTAAAACAGGAAACAAGGGATAAACATCTACTATTGTTAAAAAATTCCGAGAAAATTTGAAGAGAACTTTATTATTGCGGTTAGTTTAAAGCGCTGTTAACTTACCTGGTTCCATAACTCTGCGTATTTGGTAAATTTACTCAAGGTCTGAGCCACGCCATCTTTGCACAACTTGATGATGCTATTTAGCCAAAGCGACAAACTAAGAACATCTTTATGCTCACTGATAATCTTCTGAAAAGATCTGGCTGATATAGCGGGAGACATTCGACTGTTATCTTCTAAGGATTCTTCCATCACTGGCTCGGGTTCCTAAAAATAAATTATATTCAAAGATATTAGTTAAGAAACGCATAACATATTCAACAACCCAAAAGACACATGGGAACATTAAATACAACCGCATCTTATCAGAGCATATTTAGATAAAATATTTTGGAGTATATATTTTTTAATCATTTAAACCAAAAGGAAGGTAATTAAGACAATAAGAAACGGGCTTACTTACTTATGTAAGTATATTGAAAAAAAAAATTAAAGAGACCAAACAATAAAAGAACATGAATTAAGAAGAAATATATAAAGGTTTTCGTAATTGTTCCTTTTTTTAATCATTTCACCCCAAGCAAGGCAATAAAACCACAAAGACGCAAGGAATTACTGAATGTGTAAATATGAGAATAACAAAAACGCCCTTAAGAAGAAAGAGCAATAAACGAACAAGAATTAAGAACAAAAATTATTATTGACAGAAGACCAACTAAGTTTTATAGTAAACGCAAAAGAAAAGTTTTTTTTTATAATTTTAGTGATTTTGGTCAGTGGCTAAAAAGGTAAAAACATAAAAGCTTATCGTAAGAAATTCTACATACTTCAAAAGAACTTCAGTCGGAAGATGTTGGGTGTTTATAATATAATTTACATGTCAGGTCAGCGAATGCTAGCAAACGGACTGCTCTGAATCAGATTTCAACAACACCTAACCTTGCCAACCACACGCTTAATTTTGGCGCCAACTGACGAATATGAATACCCGGATGAAAGACCTCCGCTTGTAAGGTCATCTGACCACATCAAAGTGCTCTTTGAATCTTTTATCTAAATGACACAGAACTCGAAGAAGTTCCATTCATGAAAGTTTCATTCCGAGACGTCATAAAAATACAGAAGTCATAAACGTTTCATTCATGAAAAGTCATTTATGTAAATGACACGGAACTCGTAGAAGTTCCATTCATAAAAGTTTAATTCGTGGATCCATAAAAGTATAGAAGTCGTAAACGTTTCATTCATGAAAAGTCATTTATGTAAATGACACGGAACTCGTAGAAGTTCCATTCATAAAAGTTTAATTCGTGGATCCATAAAAGTATAGAAGTCGTAAACGTTTCATTCATGAAAAGTCATTTATGTAAATGACACGGAACTCGTAGAAGTTCCATTCATAAAAGTTTAATTCGTGGATCCATAAATATATAGAATTCATAAACGTTTCATTCATGAAAGTCATTTATGTAAATGACATGGAACTCGTAGAAGTTCCATTCATAAAAGTTTCATTCGTGGATTCATAAAAAGTACAGAAGTCATAAAAGTTTCATTCATGAAACTCATTTATCGAAATGACCCAAAACTCGAGACGTTTCATTCATAAAAGTTTTATTAGTAAAAGCAGATTCTCTTAACAATATGCACATCACATATCCTACGAAGAACTTTGTCGATTTAAGTTCTTTTGTTAATACCTGTATTTTGTTTAACTAAGTCGGAACAACAAAAAAATCACCTCCTTTTTTGCCCGGTATGAGATTATTAAACAATTGGAACTCTCTTCCGGATTCTTGCTTCCCAGTAAAATTTGATTTTATTTCTTATTCTTTTCTCCTCTCTCTCCTAATTCTCATATTCCCTAACACTGTAAACTCTTGCGTCCTAGTGGCTTTATTGCCTTGCTTGGGATTAAATGATTTTTAAAAAATGTAGGTCAATTTTTTTTTAATAATAATTATTATTATTGTTCTTAAGAATGCAACAATAACAATAAAATGGAACGTACATTTGTCAATTGTCTTTGGAGCATTTTGGTCGATCCCAAAGAATTTCCAAAATCAGCTTCAAAAAATCGAAACCGCATTACCAAAAGATAAAGTAACCATCTGCTTTGAATATACGCTCTTTAGCGCTAGAAGGCGTCGTCAGTGATGTTCTGATTTGGACCATTAGACAGTTTCGGGTCTTTCAAACATCATACTCCCCTCACCAACTCGACCCCATCAGAGCTGATCAGTTTCTGATGCACCCCCACCCCATGCTAAATTAACAGCCTGCAGACACTGATTTATATTAGGCAAACCATAACCCGCTATCATGCATTTGATTGGTAGCTCTATTTAAGTTAATACATTTTATATAGCGTCAAATACAGTAATTTAAAATCGAATTTAGAATCGTCCTGGGTCTGACTATGATAATCCGGCAGCAAGACCTCTGATCGGGAGGTTTTATTTGTTTGTTTGTTTTACGTCATATCCACTCCTTATTGGTCATTTAATGTTAAAATTTAATTTTCTTAGGAATCTTGAAATAATAAAAATAATTTACTCTGCATTCTCAGTTAAATACTGTTGTGCCCTTGTTGGGGCTAGAAATAAAAAACACAGAGAGGATTTGAGTTAATAAACATATAAACGGAAAATCGATAATACCAGGATATAAAAACGAGCAAGAATTTTAAGTCCGAACTCTTAGAGTAAAAATTTACTCCTGACAAAAACAGTACGTGCTTTTATTTGTAACTTGGAAGAGTCCACTCATGCATGGGTAATTTAACATAACAAATGCATAGTAGATCAGTCTCGTCTTTTGTGCATATATATGTTTGTGTGAACATGATTACTCAAGGTGGTGATATGTGTGTTTTATATTGTTGTTTTGCTGAAATTATATTTTAGAATACGGTTCTAGGATATTATATGAATTAATGTCCTGAAAGAATTTTTCGTGTTGATTAATGTATCCCTTGAATATAACAGCCAAAACGTCGTGAATATGGCAATAAAAATAGGACAACAATCCGAACATTGTAAATAGAGTGAACAGTTGCAATACCTCATCTCAGAAATATAAACAGGCTAGCCTATCGGGCGGCATTTAAGCTAGATCCTATGGAGGGTTCTTCATTGGACCTCATTACAATATTTAGGAAGGAGTAGATGCGATAGGCAGCAATAAACTACAGAAGAACGCAAAATTGATCGATGCATTTAAGTATTGCATTAATATTTAAGCTTACCTTTTAAAAGTTCAATGATAATTCTTCTACCATCACTTAATTAAAAGAGTTTGATGTACGTAGGTCTTTACTTGCCGTATAAAACTTATTTTTATTTCATGGGTGACTTTCGTTGGATTTCGTAGTTAAATTCGATTATTCCCAAATTTATTTCCAAGTTATAAAAATTGTTATCGTACAAATAAATTCGCCGCAAAAAAAATCACGTAAAAAAGTCGCCGAAAGCAATCGCAGTAATGAAAACTTGGGAATCTCAAATTTTACGATAGTGGGTTCGGATCCGAACCGGAATATTTTTAATTTTCTCACAGACTCGGCCTGATTCCAAAAAGGGATGATATATTAGGCTACGGCCTCTAAGAGTAAAATGAAAGCACGAACAATTTTATTTTGAGACACTGTAATTTGGGAACAACATATTTTTCATTTGAAATGAGGTATTAAAAGTTAGTGAGTTGTGTCCCTTTAAGTAGAAAAAATGTGACACAGTAATACAATGACATTCGCATTTATTATATTAATGTTAAAACGACTTCTGTTTCACCCACACCCATTTGATCGATATGAATATCGAACCAACAGTAAGTAAAACCCAAGGTTTTGAAAACATTTCGTAAATGGTAGCAGAACACAAAAACAAATTTCTTTATTTACTCGCCTCGGTTTCCTGAGCTGTTGGATTCAATTATCCTGGAGGCACCGGATGAATCAAAACTCGGACACAGGTGGTGATAACGATTGTCTCCAGTCTTTCGTTAATCAAGTTCTTATGTTATTTAAACATTGCTACGACTAATTTTTCCTCCAAAATCAACCTGAAAACTTTGGATCATTTTCAAAACTAACGCTTTTTTCAGCATGTTCCATTTGATTACAGTAATTGCATGTGTTTCTTTTGCTCACCTACGTACCTTGATAATGCGCTATTGCTTTTAAATTTGTCTATTTCATTGACATTTTATTGTTATAACATCTATATTCAAACGGCCTCTGTTGAAGCAATATATATTTAGAGTTGACAGGTCTCAA